GGAGCAGCAGTTGCACAGAGGCAGCGTTGCCATGCAGCGGGCAGATAACAGCCCAGTAATGACAAGCGGTTAATTCAGTCCCTTACCCCACGGGAGGGGGACTTAAATCGCAGAGGTAGCATTTTAGCTAAGCCGTCAGGTGAGAAACGTTATGCAGGCCAAAGCTTTGTGAAAAAAGCATCAGAGTTTAAGTGTAGATGTTGTATTTATGCAAGACAGAGTATAACTTTGGAACAGTTATTTTTCTTACAGTAACTTATTTATGTATTTTAATATATTTTATAGTTAAGGCATGGGCCTTTTCCATTAAAACATAGACTGCTTGTTTGACTGCTTGTGTTCTGATTTAGTTGGGGAGATGCGTGCGGTTACATTCATTTCTTGAAAAAAAAAATCAAAAAGACAACCCAGACGACTTTTCTGGTTTTGCCATCTAGTTTCTGTGCACGCTAAGCACTTGAACTCGGTGTTGGGGAATTCTGGGGTTCATTGCAGGGATGTGCTGCTTTCTAGGTTAACTGCAATTCAGCGTGCTAGAACTACCAAAGGGATAACATCTCCTTGCTGGCTTTTAAACCAGAAGATCTTTGAAAGCTGTCTAGCTCCAGGATCCACTCAGGTAGGAAGTGGTCTGTTACATACCGACACTCTCCTCACACCTGGATTGCAGGAAATTTTGCTTCCAGCTACTGGTTCCATGCTATTGCTGGAGAAAAAAAACCCTGCAGATCCTGTGGTGGGCATTTCAGGACCAAAAAAAAAACACCTGCACATCCAAGCTTGGTGCATACTTAGGAGGAGTTGGCAGTGATTAATGGGATCAAAAGAGGAAAGTATTGAAAAATGTCTTGGCTCCTGGCTCAAACCAGTTTATTAATTGTGGGATCTCTTAGAATTGAATTGAAATATTTCAATATGGCTCTATCTTAGATCTAATGATTTTAGAACCTTTGCCAAAGCAAATTTCTTGTAGAAGCTAAAAATAGCCTGAACAGGATGGAAGGTGGGCCCCAGGGCTCCTAGCTCCCGTGCCATTCGTCACACCTACCACTGCCTGGACCGGTGTTTGCAACGCGGGTGGGGAGGAGGTAGTCCAGCTCTGCGAAACAAAATTCTTGGATAGCTTCTCAGGATTGTTGTGAATATTTGCATCCTGTAACTGGTCTCTCACTTGCCACTGCTGAATTAAAGCCAGCAGCCCATTTGTTACAGAGCAATGGGTGAGCATGCAACCAACTGAAGGAGGAACACAATTCTTGCTGCATGTTTTCAATCCCCAAAACGGCCCCTTCAACATGGAGAACTGTGCTGCTGAAAGCACGGATCACTGTTGCTTCAGATCTGCGGCAGGAGCTTGTTTGACTCCTTCTAAGAACCTGGTTGTTAGTCAAATCCAGCTCCTTCAAAAAGGGTGGGGAGCCACCCATGCTGTTCTAAGCAAGGGAGCTTAGTCTTAAAGCTTGATTATGGAACAGTCTCCTGGCATCAGTGCTGGGCTCTCTGCCACCTGTTGTACCTGTTCCCACTCTTTCAACCTCTTGTTCTTGATGTTCAAAATCCTCGTGCTTGCTTACTTAAATTTATGTAGTCTGCTGGATGATAAGAGAGTGGCTCTGATCAGAAAGCAGCTTTCCCATCAGCCTGATTTTCAGGGCTGCGCACCAGGTGCTTCCAGTCCCAGCTCTGTTTTGCTCTTGGCGGTGAGGTCAGTCCCTCGGTCACAGTCCAGACCTCTGATAAGGCTGATTTTCCCCTGGCTAAGTTTCTGACAACAATTTTGTTACTTGTTTTCCCGTAAAAATAAATTTTATCATTGCCAAATGTAAAATCCATGTCCCGTAAGCTGAAGTTCTACCAGGTTTGCAGTTGCCTGCAGAAATAAAGCAGCCCTTGGCTGGCGTAGGCTGAACCTTCACCAGGAGATCAGTGGCTGGTACGATTCAGTCCAGGACTAACACCTGGTGATCCCATTCTCAGGTACAGGAGAGGAACTGGTCACAGCAGGTTAAACTGCTGGTCAAGTATAGAAAAACCTCTGAAACCACACTGGTAGAGCTGTGTGTTGTTAAAAACATCATGGGCAAGGTTGCTTTGGTGGTGTCACACCTTGGTACCTGTGCTGGGGATATGGTCTAGACCACAGTCCTGCCCTGCTGGGGCATTTCGGTGCCTGTCTGCAACTTCCCTTTGGGCTGGAGCCTTCCTCGTATGGCCCCTGCACTGCCTGGGAAGTGCAGAGACACCTTGCTGGGTCAGCGCATGCTGAACATGGGTCTATGTAGCAGTGATTTTTCAATGTCTTAATTCAAGTTCCAGTTTGGAATTTAAAAAAAATGCTGGAACTGATAGCTGACAACAGGTTATCTGATTTTAGCCCCTTTTTTTTCCAAGCCCCATGGGCTGCTGCTCATGTTCATGAATGTTAATTCAATGAATACTCAATGTCAGAATTTTTTTGCTGCATGTTTATGAATGTCAAAACCATTCCCTTAGTCTGGTCTACAGCTAAACTTTATCTTGCTGCATATCGAATTGTTCCTGTTTCCAGCTCCTTGGCAAACTGATAACCACCAAACCCTAAAAAATTAGTTGTGAAGCATTTGTGCAACTCGGCACTTCAGCACCTGAAAGCTGCTGGGACCCTGCAGCAAATGCCAGGCTTCAGAGATGCAGTGAGGAAATGTGTGTCCTTGTACAGCTGAGCTGCGCGACGCCTGCATGACGTCATCTTGCCTGGTATGAAGTTTCTGCGAACTCTCTTCATTTGCTCTTCTCGATCCTATTTTTCTGTATTGTCCTGCTTACTCGTTTTGTGGGTACGTATGTATTTATTCATATTCCTTGCCAAAATGATCAGAGGACTTTGCAAGTAGCTACACCTAATTGTAAATAGAGTTATATCCAACGAGAGAATCTAGAGAGAGGGCTCGTGTTACCAGTGCAGGCTCTAAATGAAGACCTCTCCCCTGAGTAGCTCAAGTCATTTGAAATTTCAGTGGGGGTGACTTTGGCTTTCAGGACCAAACAGAAAGGCTGGGCTAGCAGAGATGTGTTAATTTTTAAATCTTTGAACGCTAACTGCAAATTTGGCTCCTTAAATTACTTCATCTCAGTCACCAGAGGCAGAAGGGTGGCTCCCTGTGTGATCAGAGATACAGGCTTGCTCAAGCAGAGGCTGGTATGCCCTCTAGTGTATTATTTATTAACCTCCATTACTCCATTGTCTCTTTCTACTGGAGCAGCTCAGATGAAGAACTACTTTCTCCCCAAGAGCTGCTGTGCCTCAGAAACCAACAATTCCAGAGAGTCTTGTCCTTGTTCTAAGATTTGTTTCTAGCTTCATCCTCTTGTCTTCATAAGTAGCATAAAACAGTAGGAAAGGAAGATTAAAACCGAGCAAGCAAGTCTTGGCAGTGCACAGAGCAGCCAGCCAGCCCACTTTCACTTTGGAAGCAGCTTCGTGCTTTAGTGGTTCTTTTTTCAAACCTTGCCCACGTGCGGGCATCGTGGCTGGAGGTTGTTGCTCCTGTATCTCCCTGAAGCCATGCCCAAAGGACGTCCCGCTCCACAAAGGGTACAGAGTGCTCATGTGCCAACGTGGTGAGCCTTGCCTTGAGCTTCTGCTGCTCCTCTGCTGCCAGCTGTGCTCCTACAACACTGCGCTGGTCTTCAGCAACAGGCCTGGCACTGGAAAAGCAGCAAACTCGAATCCAAAGGTACCCTCTCCTGAGTAGGAGGAACAACAGCTCTTCCCAGCTCTCTGCAAGCCCACGGCCTGCACTGTCAGGCTTGGATGAGCTCAAAGTACACCTGTGTCTCTTCATTGCCAGAGAGGAGGGAAAAAAAAAAAAGATTTCAGGCAAGCACATGCAGGCCAGGGCAGAGTGTTCTGCACTTTGGCTGCTTCCCAGAGCAACCAGCACAGCTCTGCAGCACCACTTCTTGGTGGGCTGGACACCTCGGGTGACAGCCTGGCACAGTCCTCCTTTCAGGCATCGTGGGGCCGGTGAGCCCTACTGGAAATGCATGTAGGTGTGAGGTATTGCACCAAGACCACCACCCTTCTTGTGCTGTTTACCACAGAACCTTGGTGTCTGCTGCCTGTAAAGATCTGAGCTGATCTCCAGAAGTCACGGTGGAGCCCAGAACCCAGGGTGACAAGATGAGAAGCCACGCCACTGGGGACCCTCCTACCACCAAGCTAGGAAGACGTGAGTTACTGCCTTGCCACTGCCCCCATCTCAGGCTGGAGCCATGACCCTTTCACAGGTGAAGCATGTACCCACGTGCCTATGCAGGTAGAAGTACACAGGAACAGCTCTTTTTTTCTTGTCTATTTAGCTTGTAAATTCTTTGAAGAAAGGGCTTCATCTGGGTCTGTCTGCACAGCACTTAGCATGATAAAGTCCTGCTCCTTGTTACAGTGCCAGGTCCTTCTCAATGCCAGCAGCATCATACCTCACTATCTTCCTTCCCAACTTCAGGGAGTTGTGTAGCTGGAAAAACCTCTTATTTCCCACGGCAGCTCCTTTATTGCTGCCTCTACAAACAGCGAACACAATTAAGCCCCAGAAAATGTCTTGGGCATTTTGTAACAAAACTTGCCCAACCAGAGTTTGAAGCATTTAGCTGACCCACTTCCCCCTTTTTTTTTTTTTAATAATTTTTTAAAATAAAGAGTCATCAGCTTGGGGCAAATCACAATTGTAATTTTCACCCTGACAGATCAGAGATGCGTCCCAGTGTACTATTTCCATGAGAGAACATCTGGAAAGCTGAGAGTTGTGCGATGGTGTGACCACGACTCCCTCCACGCAGCGTTAAAAGCAGTCGTGTGTGTTACAGTGGACTCAGGAGAAGACTGGATTTCCATTTGTACGGTTTAAAAAAGTCACCTGGACCCCACACAGTAGGATACAGCTCATATATGGTTTGAGAAAGTTATCAGCAGCGAAGTTTTCTGGGCTTAGACAAACTCCAGCGGAACACCTGGACAGAAACCTGCCCCCACCCCTCCCCACCACTATTTTCTGTGTCACGATGCTCGCGCTCTGCACCATCACTCATAATAGACAAAAGAAAAATCCCAAAATCCTGTTCTGTTCGGATGCTTTTTCAGGCATGCCAAGCTACGATGATTGATGTATTTCACAAACTTCATAGTTTCTTTGTCTCTATAAACTAAGGCCAAGCAGTTTTCCTCTGGATTCACCGTCAACAGCTGGAAGACACGAAAGTAAGGGAGAAAATTAGGTTCACAAAAACGGCTTTGATATCATTCCGAGGAACAAACAAACAGAACCGTTTCAAAAGCTAGTCAGAACAAAGGTCTTGTGTTAGAAAATGAACTGTGTCGCTATGTTAATACCCCTCAACCTGAAGTATTTAGTAGACAGTAAGAGATTCTGGATTTATTAGCACTGCTACTGACTGTGACCCTAGGAAACAGCACTCTCCGGGAAAAGCATCGCCTCTGCCACAGCCTTGTGCCCCTCGGAGGGCTTCCCCAGGGCCACCCGGGGCAGGTGACATCGGGCACTGTTGGGATGTTAAGCTTTATGCTGAATGCTTGTCTCTGGAAGCTGAAGTCAGAGCTACACCCATGAGCATTAATTCAGGCAGGAAGGCTCCAGCGCAATACCAAGTAGCCTCAGGATTATGTTAGCGTAACAAAAAATCGCAGTTATGCCTCTCCACCCTCAACAACTTTATCTAATGTGATCCTTACCTCTTCGTCTTCGCCTTTAGCGATGTAGGAAGTAAAGCCACCATATTCTGGATCCCAGTCTTAAAAGGGAAAAGAAAAATTCTCAGAAAGTTCAATGCTACCTAGGCTCCATCCAGCCTTCCTGGAGATGCCGTTTTCCCATCCCACTTCCCACAGCTACTGGATACAGTACAATTCTGTTTACTTCCTGCCAGTCTATTATTTTATTTTTTTCCCAAATCAGAAACGAAGCAAATGTACTAGATTTGCCTGTTGCCACAGATGGGCTGTTTAAGGTTGCTTAGTGCTCTGCTCCTCGCCTGTAGAGCAGTTCTGCCCGAGCAGATATGCAAAAGGCTTTCAATGTAATTGCCAGCATGTGCCAGGTGGTTTCAGCTGCGGATTCTGGGCGCAGCTTAAGCACAATGCTTCTGTTTAGATATGTTTTCACCACTATCTAACGAGCAATCGACCTAAAACGCCTAGACATGCCTAAAGTAGCTTTTGAAAACCCAGGGCTTTGGGAATGGGAGGCACAGTGATAAGTTTGATGAGGAAAAGGGTGACATGGATACGCTTTTAGTGGATGTTCTGAACCCCTGCTATGCCCAGAGCCACTGCTTAGGGAGGAAAGGTCTGGGAGACGCAGCCTTTCCTTCTGCCCAAGCGCCATCTCCTGGCTCCAGCAGGAAAGCTCAAAGCTGCTCCTAAGGCCGCAGCCCCGAATCTGTGTGTAAGGACTACTGAAACCAGGGCTTACGCAGAAACAAGGACTATGATAAAGTCTACAAAGCCCTTCTGTGTAGGAAAAAACAGGGAAATTTTGGCTATTTTGGCAGTGATGAGAATTCAGAAGTCCCTTCTTTACACAAACCTTGTAAGGGAGAGACCGACATCTCTCTTTTGTACACTTACCCTCACAGCCGCAGAAGAAGAGCAGGTCAAGAGCAAATTCTGTTGCTTGAGTATCATGGACTAGAGTATAGTGCCCGTGGGTCCAGTGCCTCAGCTCCCCTGCGCACATGGGGGCACCCGAACCTAGGAGAGGGAGCAAATAAGCCAGGGAAAACAAGAATGTTGTATTTTATTGTACACTAACTTCTTTTCTAGAGATGCCTCTAAGTTACGTGCTTTGAACAATGTGGAAGAGTGGGGCCAAGCTATGATGTGCTTTGGTTTAACTATTTCTGCCTTTATATTTTTGTCCCTCCCTGGATTTACAGTAGAGCTCCAAATGTCAAGAGCCAGCAACCTCTCTGTTCATGAAGGATTGAAACCACCAAATGGGTCAGTGGAGAAACAAGGAGAGTGCTCTGAACTCGCTCTTCACGTGCCATCCCAGGAATTATGTCAAAATTTGGGAAGCTTTTTGTTTTTCTCATAGCTCTAACCCAGTTTTCAATCCTCAAATGAAAGTTTAAAATGACACGTCGGAATGTGGCAGATAGAAGAGGCAAAATGACTAGCGATGGAAATCAGAAAGACAACGCCTTCATACCAGGTAAGTGCTCTGGTGGGATTTTCAGAAGGTCTCAGTTTTTTTTAATTACCTTTCATTCTAGTGCCCACTAACTTGCCTGGCCCAGTGCACTATATGCATTTTCAGAAAATCTACCCTTGAACTTCAAAGTCACTATTTAAAACGAACAGCACCAATCCATGAACCCAGAATTAACCTAACCTTTTATAGCAATGACATCTCATTGCTGACAACTGGCTATTTAGGCTGGCACCAGTTTTAGGAATTGGTATTCTAATTATCTTCTGATCTGTTTGCCTTCTTCCTTTTGATTTGGCCGCATACAAGAATCTGCTTTATGTGAAGCCGGAGTGTAACTACTGGCAAAAGATTATTGGTCAATTAGTTAACACCCCTCCTCCTCACCCCTGCCTTAACTCCTGCAGAAGTCCCACCCTTGTGTCTGTTCAAAATGGTATCTTTAAGTTAGTCATTATTTTATTCCTTATTCTTTTGCAATGGTCACTTTGGAGACCCAGTCTGACATACTTCATGTCCCATATTTGTGCTGCTGCCAGTACAAGACAAAATGCTAATTCCTTGAAAGTCACTGGGAATTCTGCTGCTGACACCCTTAATGTCAGGATTCTGCTCGAGTCCTTTCACGCTGCTGCTGGACTTACCGTTCCGTGTCTCACTCTCTGGTGCTTCAGGGATGTTGTCAGGCTGGTCTGGCTGGTGGGAGCTGCTATGAGCGTGGTGCTCAGCCTGCTCAGCCTGGGGACTGCTGTGCTCAGCAGTGTTGGGTGCTCTTCCTTCCCCAGCATCTTCATCCTCATCAGAGGGAGCCAGGAAGTGCAGCTTTAGGCCAGTGAAGTTGGAAAGCAGTAAAAACAAGGCCTCAGAGCGTAAGAACTGCAGGAATTTCTTTAGGATGTCGGGGAGGCCGTCTTCCTCTGCTGTCTTGTAGAGCCTGAAAGACAGCAGAGGGATCAGGTCCGTGGGGGCAGCACCAACCAGTGCAGCCTCACCGCAGTTCCTGCTTGACTTGATCAACAGGTGCAGGATGCCATCATTCCCCACCTTTTATTAGCAGGTCCCCGGCTACTCCACTGGATGTCTTTGCTCTCCAAAGCTTCACATAGTAGTTGGTATTTCTCTTTCTAGGTGAGAAAAATAGTGCAGAAACTTCAACGTTGAGCTCCCAGCCTGCATGAACTATGGTACCTGCCAGCCCTGTGACCTCTTCTGGCAGACCACATCCGCTTGAACCACTGCGCTCACCTTAAGAAAATCTTTCAGGAGAATTTCCGATCGCTCCTCAAATTCCTCCTGGATTTGAGCTTGGGAGTCCATGTCCAAATAAACTAGATTCACCCACTCATACAAGATTTCATGCTGAAAGGGAAATGGATTTGGTTGCTGAATTTGCAAAAGTAAAAAGGATTCCCCAATTCTCCCTTAAGCAGCTGGCCACAGGGCTGGATTCCTCTCCGCACAAACTCCATTCCTTTCTTTTTTTCCTTAGTTGTGCCATGAGTATTTTCTGCGCTTTTGTAGGTATGCAACATGTACAGAGTCAAGAAAGATCCACAAGAAAGACACCAGCTACGCATTTATGGATGGGAAACAAAAAGAATGGGATTAAAGCAGCCCTCAGCATCGGTGCATCCCAAAACAGGTCTTCCAGGGACACAAAAGAAAGAGAAATGCAGGTAAGCAGATGTAGGCTTGTTACTCACATCATAGGGGATGTGTGGGCTCCTGGGCACAGCAGCTTCGATGTGGCGTGCAGGCCTGACTATTGACGGGCCATGAAACCAGCCGCTCACCGACAAACGGCACTTCTCCTCAGACAGAACTTCTGACACCTGGAGCACAACGTTGAGCAGCACGTTACTGTTTAGATTACAGGACATTTAAAGACCAGCTCTAACAGACGCTATGTAGGCTCAGCATAGGAGATGGCCCTGACTCCGGAGTGCCTGCTGCACACATGGAGAAGTCAGATAAGGGCTAGACCAGGTCAGATTATTCTTGGTTTACTGGAAGAGGGCTTAAAGCAAACTTTGATGCTCAAGTCCATTGTAGGGTTTCTAGAATCCCAGCCCAGCTTTTTAATTCAAGCTCCCAACAAAACCCCTTGCCTCTCTCGGAGAGCATTTGTCTGATGCTTTTGTCTCTGGAGTAAAGGTCTATGAGCAGCCCTGCTACCTTGGCATTTAACCTGATCTCTGGAAATCCTTGGTTTTCACACAGTGGTGGCCACCATTAAATCTTAATTTCATTGAATGGCACACTGAGGTAAATTGGGCTAAATTGAACAATTTCAATTCTAGGGTGCTGTACTGTAATGGCAGCGTAAAGAGAAAGCCACTGGCTGCTAGCCACAAACCATGAATCTCTGAATAGCACATAAAGACTTTGTGCTGGTTTGGTTTGTGTTTTAGAACAGTCTGATCAAACAGGAGGAGGAAACAGTCTATTCTGAAGAGGTTTTAGTTCCTATTGATTGCTACAGAGCTGTAGCAGCTCTTTCCTTGCATGACTGAGAGGTGTTCTAGGTTATTTGGAATGGCTCCTGAGTCCTAAATCACTTGGGAAATGGAAACCAGAAAACTGCTGGCTCACAGATCCTCTCTGCTCAGCAAAAGCCCACAGCTTTATTTGTTATCTCCTGAAGAAGTGTACACCATGAAGTACAAAACCTGTGTGTGCTGTGGAGGCCTCACATCAGTCTGACCCTTACACAGGCCTCTAACAGTAAATTTGCAGGCTCTACTCTTTATTGACAAAAGGGTCAAAGAAATGAGTTAATGGTTCAGCAAATAGTCTGGGCACAATCAATGAGGTCCAGATGCGGGAGGCTTTAATTCACAGTGCTCCCAGCTAAGCTTAATGCTTATTTTAAAAATAAGCGTTATTATTTAAGCTGAATTTATTGCCTGCGTTAACAGTATCGGAGAGAGTGCCCAGGGACACTGAACAGTGCTCACGTGTGGCATTGAGGTCAGGCCAGTAGGAGGCAGTCACACGGCAAAGTGGAACATGGATTTTTATGACAAGATTAAATCACTACTTGAAAACAATTAGGGCAGTGAATGAACTGTAAGACGCAAATGACACAAAAATTGAACCCTAAGCAGTCTAGGTGAGGACATGCCCAACCTGTATCACTGATCTTCCTCTCCAACCTTCTGCTCTTTGGCCCTGTTTGTTACAGCCCGTGGCATTCTCAAGTGCTCAGGAGTTTCATATTTCAGCCAGATAGTTGTTCCACGCAGTTTCACTGACTATTCATCCTGTTCCCAGGCATCTTTCTAAGAAGTTCTACGAAGCGCTACCTCACCATCTCAGCGTTTCAGCTATGGGTAGTGCCACACTGGGGAGGTGAGGTGCTGAGGAGCAAAGTCATGGCACCCGCGTGAAAAACATGAGCTAGCTTAAAACAAACAAACAAAAGTCCTTCTCACCACCACAGCCAAATCCACAGCAGCGGCTTGCCAGGAGAACAACACAAAATAGAAATGGAAATTTTTCTTCCCCCAGGATGATGAAGTGAGACAGCTGGCTTTGTCAGTTCTTGTTCTCCTTGAAGCTCTGCCTTTAGCACGAGTATCCACTCTACCCACACTTCTCCCTTTCCCTTCTCCCTCCCCATCAGGACTGTAATAACACGCAGAGTGAATGAATAACCACAACAATGAGAATCAAAAAATGAACAAGAGACAGCTCCTTGCCTGGTGGAAAGAGACTGGAGACACTTCAAAGAAAACCAGCGTGTTCCACGAAGGCACTAACGACTTGACGATGTGCTGTGGCTGGAAGTGTTCTGAGGAGGAAGAAAACATACTTTGATTAAGAAAGGAACTAGAACTCCCTAGGAACTGCCATTTCTCTCTGACTTTGTGAGATTGCAACTGGTGAGACACCTGGGTATAAGGGACAGAGCTCAGTGCTCGGGCTCTGAGGAATCTGTGGACTTCTGTTGCTGTTAAGGGACATTCTGTCCATGACTTTAGAGTTCCAAGCAGTTACTGGCATCACTTCCATTCCTCTCTTGGCCCTTGCACAAAATGTAAAAAAAAAAAAAAAAAAGATTCCCTGTTGATTACTTTCTCCAGTTTCTCTGTTGTCACCCATTAGTGCTCTCTGCAAAGCCTGCTACAGCCCATCTCAAGGTGCAAAGTCTGCTGATATGTCAGCTTCTCTGGACAAAGGAGAAGCTCTTTTATCTTTCTTGTATAGTTTGAGGAGAGTTGCTACAAGGGTTGCCTAGGCTTCATCTTTTTAAGCGACGTGAGGCTGAGCTCAGAGCTCTTACCATCTGTGCTATACAGGTCCAGCGTTCCCCCGTCGCTTTTCTCCCAGGGCGGGACGAGGTACAGGATGAAAGCAATTCTCCGACCTTCCAGCTCATCGTCGTGGCACAGCAAGACATCTGCAATTACACGGTTTTTTGCTGCAATAGCGCCTTTCCAGTACATGCATGACTCATTCCAGTGGCTGCTTCCCAGCTTTGTCCCCGCAAGGATGCAACAAGAAAAAACATGCCTGTTCAAAACCTGCATTTTCACTCATCAGCATCACCAGCTTCAGATTTGCAAGATTAACTTCTGTGGGATGGCACTGCATTTGGAAGACTGGCCCACTCTGAAGGTACAGGCAGTTAGAACTTGTCATCTGCCCCCACCTGCCTGCCTGCCACTGGGCATGGTGGACAGAGATTCTCGAGTTAAATACTGACTCAAGCTCTTTGAGATCTGCCCTTTGTGTAGGCTTGTTGCTGGAATAGAGGGGAGTGAGAGCCCTGGGAACAGAAGAGCTGAACCAACAACTGGTTGTGCAAAAGCTTTTTTTAGAAGTGGAGGTGACAGCAGTAAAATTTTCTCCTCCGGACAGTGATTTTTCATGACTATAAGTGTAGGTGCAGTTGTAGCCTGGGCTCACCAAGGTGATGTTTTAGCATCAGGCTTCACAAACTCAACTGCGGCACTGAGAAGCCAAACACATTACCCTTTGGTGTGGAAGCAGGCGTGCACACATGGGCTGAACGTCTCTGGAAAGGTGTGGGCTTGCAGCAGCACTGGCCCCAGGGAAAGCCACAAGCAATGTAACTCTAGCAACAGTTTCTCTGTAATTTGTACTTTATTTCCCAAGACTTTGATTTGCTGCTGATAGCTTCTAGGACCCTCTGAAACTAGAAAGGGGCTGTGGTGGATTATGTAATTACGTATCCCCTAGACATGTTGTTTCCTACCCCTAGAAGCTTTGGGGAAAGGATTGCTTATAGACTGACCCGTGTATTCATATTTAGCACAGGAGATGTCAATAGTTGGCTCCAGCTCGATCTGGGTCACAGCAGCAAGCCACGCTCGGAATTCATCACACAGAGCATGCCTGAAAAGACAAGCACAAGGTAAGTGTCCTCTCATGTTATAAAATATATCGCTATAGCCTAAACTAAGTTATTGTCTCCCTTCCAACTATTTAAATGGCTAAAGGTGCTGTTCCAGCTGGTGACAGTGTATTCATGTAAAACCAGGCAGGGGCTGGCCAGAAGTCATAAAATTGTATCATAGAATCACAGAATGGTTTGTCTTGGAAGGGATCATAAAGATTGCCTTGTTCCAACCCCTCCCCGCCGTGGGCAGCGACCCCGGACATCTTCCACTAGATCAGGTTGCCCAGAGCCCCGTCCTACCTGGCCTGGAACATTTCCAGGGATGGGGCATCTGTAGCCTCCCTGGGCAACCTGGTCCAGTGTCTCACCACCCTCATAGTGAAGAATTTCTTCCTAATGTCCAGTCTGCACCTACTGTGCTCCAGTTTAAAACCGTTTTCCCTTGTTCTGTCACTGCCTGCTCTTGTAAAAAGTCCCTCCCCAGCTTTCCCGTGACAATAACGAGCAGGGAGTGTGAAATCAGTTGCGAGGGGCACGGGCAAGCAAGCGTTCCAGAAGTGACAGAGGCAGGGAGGGCTGAACCAGCACGCCCCGGAGCAGGATGTTTAACTGCTGCCAGTGCCGACACCTGCACAGCGCAGATTCAGCTCCC